TCACATCCTTAGGGAGAAGAAGACTTATAGAAACATAACAGTAGAGATTTTTAAGGGATGCAATGAAAGGGGAAAACTAAAATGTTCTTCTTAGATGAGGATCTGGAAAAGAACACCCTATGAAGTCTTAGAGGATCCACATGACACATGATCTTATTGATCGCTATGGTCTTGTTCCAAAATTACAGTTTTGGGACCCCCGGGCTGCTCTAGATGAGCATCTCCTTCTCTTCCATAGCAAGGAGTTTGTTGACTTAATCTGTAAAAATAACTCAAAGATCGAGGGCAAGAAAAACAAGGATCACTTCCGAGAGTTCAGCCTCTCAGAGGGAGGGGATTGCCCAATGTTTGACAACATCTACACCTTCTGTTAGACCTATGTGAGAGGATCCATCGGAGGCGTTACAAGGTTAAATTTTGGAGAAAGCGACATTGCAATTAATTGTCCTTGGGGGCTCCATCATGCACACAAGGCCCAAGTTGCGGGTTTTTGTTATGTCAACGACATAGTTTTCACCATCTTAGAGCTTCTGAAATTCCATCAGGTTTGTTTATTGTCATTCTCATTGACTTGCTTTCGTTATTGTTATATTGCACTTATTTCCTTAGTTTCGATTGTTTTTCTTACATATTTTCAGCGGGTTCTTTATATTGTATTTTAAGAATAAATTCACATCTCCATTAAGCCCAGCTTGTAGGTGTTGAATATACCACTCTATATGCTGCTCGTTACATTGCAAAATAACTGGAGCTAACACAAATCAGTAACCTATCTTTATAGCATGCAGAGATGGAGAAGCTAAAAATCTTTTGAGATAATGTGGCCTTCACTTCAACGTGTTCTTCTACGCCAGATTTAGAATGCAGTATAAGATCATAAGATTCATATGCTTGTGCCATCTCCACCGCATACCCTTCTTTTAGAAAGCAGTCCAGCACATGCAGCACAAGAGCTTTCTATCCTTGTTAGCCTCGCTTACACGGCGCAGATTGTATACAGATTTTGTAGTGTACGTCACATCTTTCCAACAATCCACAAACCAATCTCTCTCGAAAGTTTCTGCCCTTGATGGAAAGAAGCTCATGCTTTTCAATAACATTCTCCAAGCGATCCGGAACATTTCTACACGTTGGAACCGTAGGAGGCGGCGAGTCTTCACTTCGTGAGTGCCTCACTCCATGATTGACATCAACGCCCATCACGAGAATGGTGTGGATGAAGCATTTTATACTAGCAATAGAGTGTCATCCACAAGTATGAAAATATATATGTTGCTAATAAAGTTATGCCATGTTTTCCTGCTACTGGACACCAAGATCATAGTGGATGCGGTGATGGAAGAGGTTATTCTGTCAATGTTCCTCTAGATGACGGTATGGATGATGACACATATTGGAATATGTTTAAACCCATTATTGATAAGGTAATGAAAGTCTTTAACTCTCATGCTGCGCGATTCCTTAGACGGTGATATGTTAGGTCCCTTCAACTTGACAATCAAGGGTCATGAGCGGTGTGTAATTACATCTGATCATTCGACAAGCTGTTGTTGCTCCTTGGTGGTGGGGGATACACCATTCAGAATATAGCATGATGTTGGTGCTACGAGGTGTCTTTTCTATCTTTAACTCTATATTTTATCGATTTTTCATTGAACTACTTCTTGGTCTCATTTTGACTGATATTTCTGATTATAAACTAGATCAGGATTGCAATTGGCGAAGAGATTGAGGGCAAGATCTCATAATGTGTTTACCTAGATTACTATGCGCCAGAGTACAATCTTCACATTGCTCCAAGTAACAAGGTGAACAGAAAAACTTCTTCGCAATGTCGAAAATCTTAACTGATGTGTATAGGCACTTGTCCAACATACCGACAGTTCCCATCATGAAATTTCAAGAGATATCTCCTGTGATAGGATTTCCCGAGGTGTGTTCTTTGGTTCCAACGTCTGCAATAGTTTTGTGGTTAGTTTTCTATTGAACTTTTTAATTGATTCACTTTTTATCTTCTTCCGTTTTTGATAAAGTTATCTTCTCCTTTTCAGGTTGGGGGAAATGCATGATTTTCACACGAGATCAAAATGATGGTAAGATTCTCGTATTGATGGATGGTGACTTATGATTGTACTTTTGATGACAACAATCTTCCTTGCTTTTAATGACCCTGAACTAGTGAATTCATGTGATTGACCTGTGAAAAGTGTGTTAGCTTATATTTGCTCTCAGTATGTCTTAAATTAGTAAGTTGAGGTGGCAGCAAAATTGAGGTCTTAGGAGTTGGTTGGGTTGATTGATTTTGGCTTTCATCCTATCTTTGTCGAAGCCAAATTTGTTGGAGTGGTACATGGAGAAAGTTGAATGAGAAAGCAACAGTTACCATCTCTGGGGGGGTGAAGAAGACTTTTAGAAATATAATTGTAGAGATTTTTAAGATATGTAATGAAAGGGAAAAACTAAAATGTTCTTTTAAGACAAGTATTGAAAATGAAGTCCTTAAATGAGCTGGAATACGAATCCAAATATCAAAGCAAATGTAGTGTCAAATAGAAAACATCATTATCACCACGTATTTTTTTATTTGAAAATATTATTACCACACCACTCACTAGTCACTACCACCTTCCCTTCATCAAAACTCACTCATAGTTAAGACTTAGGCATCTTTCTCTTTTGATCTTACCCACTGAATTATTTTTAAAAATTATACTAGATATGACCCTCTTGCTTGGGCTTCGCAGCAAATGGAGGATGAATAACACGTATGATATGAAAGCAAAATGTAACTCTTAAAATATAAATGCAAAAGCAACAAAAAAAAGTACAAAAATGTGAGAGGGCTTTGTATCAATTTGTACTCGTTGGCCAATGATGCTGTGAAATTTAGTAAGAGTTTAATTCTTAATACATTATTACATTAATAGTAAGAAAAATCACAAAAATGTGTGAAACTATGGATCTATACAATATTGACTAAGAAGAAACTATTTGATTTAGCAAAAATGTAATTGATTATGCATCTATTATCCCCCATCAAACAAAAATGTTAACTTAGAATTTAACTTATATTTTCAACTAAGATGAGAAAAAAAAAAGAGAAATAAGAGAAAATGAAAAAAATCAACAAAAGCAAAGAAAAGATGGAAGAACCAAGTATATATGGTTTTGTACTTTTGTTGGTTTTGACTTATGATGCTATTTCCTTCCTTTTCATTGAGAGTGATAGATTTCATTGTTAACTTTCTATTCGATTCAGGTGAGAGAGATGAGTAAAAATGTAAAACCACATACGAACTTCGGTTTCGAGCATAAGAGATGAATAAGAATAGAAAATCAAATACGAAAAAGAAATTAGTTTCAACTCAACAAACAAAAATTGATTTGTAAAAGTAATGATTATGATGAAAGAAACGAGGAGAGAGGTGAAATACGACGATAATGGGTTAAAAAAAAGAGATCACTTCATTTGCTTGTTGGATTGGATTTGGGTGCCGAAAACCATGTTTGTTGAAATTGTTTTAGGGTTCAAAGATTTGCAAAAACCTAGCGAAGAGGTGGGATTTAAGAAAGGGGTATAAATCCATGATGGTAAATGACTTATATACCTACATTTTTTTTTCAGATTACAATTGTATCCTCAATACCCCATGTTATTGATTGTTCAAATGCCTAGGAAGATTCTAAATTTATAGGAATTATGGACAAAGATTATTTCCAAATACTTCAAATTCATTATTTTCATCAAATATTAACTATTCACTATACCTTTTTTTCTTTCTATGTTGGGATAAGATTAAAGTGAGCCTACCTTGATTAGGAATCGTGTTGAATTGGTCGAAATTGGTTTATATGAAAAAACAAACAACAACAAAGAAATCAGGACAACAAGGTAAATTGTGTTTTATACTACAAATATAATTTATCAAAATCCATCATGAAATCCAACAAGCAACCAATAGTTTTTTCCATATTCATAATGAACCAAATCCATCATAAATTCAAGGTTTCCAAAATCCAACCCTCATTTTCAAATAGTAAGAAAGAATCAATTAATTCTAGCGTTGCATATGAAAAGCATACTGACTTTTCCTCGCAAATGGCAAGTATTCTGGCCTGGGTATGAGCAGGGGCGGACCTATGTGTTGCTAAGGGGTGTGGTCCGACACCCATTCGCCCGAAATTTTGTGAAGAACCTATATTTTTTTGGTACAAAAAATTTTAATACGAAATTTCCGACACCACTTTAATAATTATAGCCGATACTCGTTCATTAGGCGACACCCCTCTTCAACAATTCTGAATCTGCCTCGTCCACTCCAATGACCTTATTCACTTGCACTTCTAAAAAAGCCATTTATGAACAGTGAATAATGTACAGTTAAAAGGCAATATTACAGTCAGCCAATATTTCAGCCATTTACAGAGAAGCATGCTGGACACACGCACGCAAATATTCACAAAATCTAAAGCATCCAGCACCAATAGGGTAATGAAAATCTAATGCTGATCATCCTACTTGATTCGCAAGCAACGTCTACCTGAGTACATTTGAGCGATTCCCTGAGTTACAGGATTGCCATTCCTCTATCGCGGTTCAGCAATCAAAGGCAGCTCCATCATTGATATAAGGAGGATGATGATAATTAAAGTAAACAACTTCCGGCCTCTCTGGATGAGTATTAAGTATAGAATAGTATTTGAGATCAAAGTAAGGCATTGATGATGATGTACCCGTCTTCAATAACCCTCCACATTGCATCGTCCATGATCTTCCATCTTCTTCCCGTCTCCAAACCCTTACAGTTTCAGTTTGCATTTCGCGCAAAATTTACGTGCAGAGCACCCTGTGAGATTGAAAGATCCCACTGCTTGTCTTTAAACTGTGTTCCTGCCTAGGGTCTCCTGCTGTCCCACTCCAATTGCAAGGTACGAAGGATTGCAAGGTAAGTGCGATGGGAACACGAGCTGGTTTGGAGCAGTGAAGCAACAAACGAAATCTATGTCTCAATCTTGATCCAAACGAAATCAATGCATGCAACTTTCCCCAGTCCTACTCAAATTCGGATTACTAAACACCAGTTATGCAGGCAGGATAATACAAACAGATACAAATGGAGATTCTTCACGTATTGAAACCCAAAAAACTAGCAAGGAAACTGACACAACAATATTGGACAATTAAGAACTAAGATTGATCTTGGCATAATATTTACACATGGCAAGTCTTTGGTTCAGATGGGCTCGGATGTTCGACGAACAACTGCAGAGACAAAGGCTGGCTGCTCATGGACTTGATTGGAGTAACTTCTGGGAGGTGCTGCCACTGCTTCGTGTCAGTCGGGATCCACACATCTGCTTCTTTGCTCGTACCAACCTCGGGAAGACCTCGGAAGTAAGCTGTTACTTCCCATCTGCAATCTGCAAATTTTTGGGAGTCAATGGTTCTCAAATGAGGGATCAAAAGGGTTCATTATGGTGATGGACTTATATAATATATGAATGTGGATTGCTAACTATAAGGCCTTCCAAATAAACTACACTAACAGCTCAGCTAAGCAGAATATCACATTGCAACTTATGAAGTGAATGCAGCTCATGAGTGCTCAAAACAGTTTTGTCCGGTGGTAGAATGATAGATGTACAACTGTTGGTCGTTTAAACTATGAACATTCAATCAGATTACAGAATCCGACATTCCCACCTGCATCTGCAAACATCTGAATCATCGGAGCTCCTATACGTTGATGAAATGTACGGCTGTGGATCATACTTACAGGACAGTTAAACTACCAACATTTGGGTATATTTTGAATTCCATTGCTTATCAGATTCCAGATTATAACAACTCAACAATCCATCACACCATTGACAAGAATCTATCGCCACAAAATAATCAACAAACCCAACTCTTTAGAGCAATCTTACCGGGAGGGAGAGGCTTGGTGAGATTTTCTGATGTGGGGAGTTTGATAAGGAAGGAGCGAAGCGAGAATTCGAGATCGGCTTCTTCAATCTTCGATCCAGACGATGAAGACTGGTTCATACCGAGCTTGAACACGAATCGCTCGTTAACCACATTATCATCTTTGTTGAAGAAGATCACTAGTACTCTTTCCACCAATCCCTAATTGGATTCCAGCAATTTGAGAGTGAGCAAGCAAGCAAGCAATGCCCCAGTTTCCAGATTTGTTCTCCAAAACTAAGCAGGCCGACTAAAGCATCAATCACGGGAGGGAAAATGGATACGAAAACTGACCTTTTGGATGAAAGGGAAGAGAGCGTTGACGGAAGAGTGGATGTAATCTCGGAGCTCTGGCTGCTTCGCTCTATGAACCACCGCGTTCATATATCTCCGCCTCTCAAATGCGCCTTTTGGAGAAAAGGAAAGCAACGAATCCCAATTCAGTCAATCAATCAGGAGAAGACTGGAAACCCTAATTTCAGACGAGACGACTCAACGTACCGGCGGGATAAACCCTCTTGTGGAAAACGATGGACGTAATCGCCACTTCCAGGAACTCCACCAGAATCCTCGCCGTTTCCGCTGCGAAGAAAAACAGATAGCTCAATTTGTTTCCCGTTGGCCGGAGAGGGTAAATGCGAGAAATTACGATGAAAACATACCTCTAGTATCCATTTTTAGTCGTTGCCGGAGATGCCCCGGCTACTGGTTACGGGTTAGGGGATTTTCCTCTCTTCCGGGGAAGGGCGGCGGGAAAGATGAGAATTGGCCGCGGGAATATAAGAAAACGACGTCACACCAAATTTGGGTTTCAAAGTATCTATTAGGATTTAGGAAAGAGCCTGGGAATATTCTCTAAAAGACGGTAGGGCTGATAAGAAAGAGGAATTAGGAGCCCAAATAAACGGTTGGCCCAAGCCCAAAAGGAAAAACCCTAGGGATGGCGTTTGCAAGCTGGCGAGGGATAGGATATTTCCGTGGCAGAGAATATATACATCCCTTCCTTACTTCTCCCTCAGCCGCTCTCTTATACTGGAAAAACTAGACGAGAAAGAGAGCTAACGCAGTCCCCCATAAACCCTTTCATTCGCCGCTTCATCAGGTCTGTTCGTTCTCTCGTTCTTCTTCATCTTCGCTGCGCTAGCTTCGATCTAATTTTTATGATTAGTCTCTCTGTTTTTCATTATGATTGCTTGATGTTCTTCGTCTTTCGCTTAGGTATCAGTAGATCTCTAGCTGCTTTGTAACTTAAGATTCTTTTTTCTTGTTGATGGTTCGATTGTTTGGATCATCGTGATTACCGAGCTTTTGGTGAGGAGTTATTGTGTCCGATTCAGTCGGATTCCCAGTTTGCTTATCGTTTCACGTCATTCAAATTCGTCTATTGTTTCAGTTTTTGATTGCCGATTTTGAGTTTGTTGACTTTTGGATCTTTGTTTACGGGGATTGATTCCTCTAGCTCGTGATTTGGATTTTCTCAGATGAGTAGATATGAAAGCTTTTGTAATGGATTTCTGGTTTGCTGTTCGTTAGTGTCTTCATTTATACTTGAGAATCGATTTGTTGCTGGATGGTCTGCTTATGGAATTGATTGGTTTAGGTATAAGTCATTAGGCTTTATATATGTTCTTTGAATATGGGTTCTGTTTACGCTGATTGATTTTGTTTGTTTGGTTCTAACAATCTCTTTTTTGGATTGTGCAGGTTCCCAACTGTTGAAGGATATTACTATAAAGAGTAGGCAAGATGGTAAGTTTCAGACTATTGACACTAAGTTGCAATCTTATCTTCTAATTACTGTATGTATAGTTAGTAATTACACAATTTCTTTATCTCTCAACAGGTGAAGTTCACAGCAGAGGAGCTTCGCCGCATCATGGACATGAAGCATAACATCCGTAATATGTCTGTTATTGCTCATGTCGATCATGGTAACTACTGTTCTGAACCCCGTTTCACATCCTTGCCTTATTTTTCTTATACGATTATTGTTTATGGGTTCTTATTACTGATATTGTTTGTTTTTTTTTATTCTAGGCAAATCAACTCTAACCGATTCTCTAGTTGCTGCTGCTGGAATCATCGCCCAGGAGGTTGCTGGTGATGTACGTATGACTGACACCAGGGCTGATGAAGCAGAACGTGGTATCACAATTAAGTCCACCGGTATCTCTCTCTACTATGAGATGTCTGAGAAATCCCTCAAGCAGTACAAGGGGCAGAGAGATGGCAACGAGTACCTCATCAATCTTATCGACTCTCCTGGCCACGTTGACTTCTCCTCTGAAGTCACTGCTGCCCTCCGTATCACAGACGGAGCTCTAGTTGTGGTTGATTGTGTTGAGGGAGTCTGTGTCCAGACTGAGACTGTCCTCCGTCAGGCCCTTGGTGAGAGGATTCGTCCTGTGCTGACTGTCAACAAGATGGACAGGTGTTTCCTTGAACTCCAAGTTGATGGAGAGGAGGCCTATCAGACGTTCCAGAGGGTGATTGAAAATGCTAATGTCATCATGGCCACATACGAAGATCCCCTTCTTGGCGATGTCCAGGTTTATCCTGAGAAAGGTACTGTTGCTTTCTCTGCTGGGCTTCACGGGTGGGCTTTTACCCTCACCAATTTTGCCAAGATGTATGCTTCAAAGTTTGGAGTTGACGAGTCTAAAATGATGGAGAGGCTGTGGGGTGAGAACTTTTTTGACCCAGCAACAAAGAAGTGGACCACCAAGAACACTGGTTCTGCCACATGCAAGCGTGGGTTTGTTCAATTCTGTTACGAGCCCATCAAGCAAGTGATCAACACTTGCATGAACGATCAGAAAGACAAGTTGTGGCCTATGTTGTCAAAGCTGGGAATTCAGATGAAGGGTGAGGAGAAGGAATTGATGGGAAAGCCCCTAATGAAGCGTGTCATGCAGACTTGGCTCCCGGCAGCTGATGCTCTATTGGAAATGATGATCTTTCACCTTCCTTCCCCTGCAACTGCGCAGAGGTATCGTGTTGAGAACTTGTATGAAGGCCCACTCGATGATCAGTATGCTACTGCCATCAGAAACTGCGACCCTGAAGGACCTCTGATGCTTTATGTCTCCAAAATGATTCCAGCATCTGACAAAGGTCGATTCTTTGCTTTTGGTCGTGTGTTTGCTGGGAAGGTGTCTACTGGGGTTAAGGTCAGGATTATGGGGCCCAACTATGTCCCTGGTGAAAAGAAGGATCTGTATGTGAAGAATGTCCAGAGGACCGTTATCTGGATGGGAAAGAGGCAGGAAACAGTAGAGGATGTTCCTTGCGGTAACACTGTTGCTCTGGTTGGTCTTGACCAGTTCATTACCAAGAATGCTACTCTGACAAATGAGAAGGAAGTGGATGCTCACCCTATTCGTGCTATGAAGTTCTCCGTCTCTCCTGTTGTTCGTGTTGCTGTCCAGTGTAAGGTTGCCTCTGATCTGCCCAAGCTTGTGGAAGGATTGAAGCGTCTGGCAAAGTCAGACCCTATGGTTGTCTGCTCAATTGAGGAGTCTGGTGAGCACATCATTGCTGGTGCTGGAGAGCTCCATCTTGAGATTTGTTTGAAGGATCTGCAGGATGACTTCATGGGTGGTGCTGAAATCATCAAGTCTGACCCCGTTGTGTCCTTCCGTGAAACTGTGCTGGAGAAGTCTAGCCGCATTGTCATGAGCAAATCCCCCAACAAGCACAACCGTCTGTACATGGAGGCAAGGCCCATGGAGGAAGGTTTGGCGGAGGCGATCGATGATGGCCGCATTGGCCCAAGGGATGACCCCAAGGTTCGTTCCAAGATTCTGGCTGAGGAGTTCGGCTGGGACAAGGATCTTGCCAAGAAGATCTGGTGTTTTGGACCTGAAACCACCGGACCCAACATGGTGGTTGATATGTGTAAGGGAGTCCAGTACTTGAATGAAATCAAGGACTCTGTGGTTGCTGGTTTCCAGTGGGCGTCAAAGGAAGGAGCTTTGTGTGAAGAAAACATGAGAGGTATCTGCTATGAAGTCTGTGACGTTGTTCTCCATGCTGATGCTATTCACAGAGGTGGTGGCCAGGTCATCCCAACTGCAAGGAGGGTCATCTATGCTTCTCAGCTGACCGCCAAGCCCAGGCTTCTTGAACCAGTCTACATGGTCGAGATCCAGGCACCCGAGCAGGCTCTTGGAGGTATCTACAGTGTGCTGAATCAGAAGAGAGGACATGTGTTCGAGGAGATGCAGAGGCCCGGCACACCGCTCTACAACATCAAGGCTTACCTCCCTGTCATCGAGTCCTTTGGATTCTCCAGCACTCTGAGGGCGGCCACATCAGGGCAGGCTTTCCCGCAGTGTGTGTTTGATCACTGGGACATGATGATGTCTGATCCATTGGAGGCAGGAACCCAGGCTTCGACGCTCGTGGCAGAGATCCGTAAGAGGAAGGGTTTGAAGGAACAGATGACTCCCCTCTCTGAGTTCGAGGACAAGCTGTAAGGTGGTTGTGAGAGAGTGGATGTTCGAGTCATCTTTTATGTTTTCGGTTTTACCTGTTCGGAATTTTTGTCTTCTATGTTGGATTTTGTATCGGTAGCAGTTTGGTAGCTATCCCAATTTCGTATCGGGTCCAAGTCTTGTTCTGAGAACTTGAGAATGTTTTTTTTTTTGGTTTGCTGGCATGTAATCCTACAGTTGGAACTCTTTAGTTTACATATATTGTCTGTCGTTTAGACAAAATTTCATGTTTTGCTTTTGCTTTTGCTCTTGTTCTGCACTTCTGCTATTCTTAGTTGATTTTGTTCGGAGATCCATTTAGCAGGTGGTGCTGTGCCTAATGTCTGTATGGACCCTGGCTATTTGCCCATCTGTTAACGAGTGTTGGACAGATTGGATCCAGAACTCAGTTGTGCTTAGAAAAAGTACTACAAGTAACTAAATCTCCTTTTCGGAATTAATACACTCCCAAACAAGCATTCAAACAGAGTTTTCTAAAATCTCGTCATCTTGCGCGGAATATGAGCAAGTTTTATGGAACTTGGAAACTGATAAGAGATGCGTCAAACCTTGAGTAGAGATGTGTTGCTTTGAACAGCAGAATGGATTACAAGCAGACATCGTTCACAACGATTACAACCTTGAGTAGACATCGTTCACAATGACGAATTACGATACAAATGAAAGAAGTGTTGCCTTTCTTTTTCTATCAATGCACAACAGTGTTTCCTTTCAATTACCAACACAACAGTTACGATCGAGCTGACTAAATGAAAAATGCCCTTTCTTTGTTTCTCTCTACCATAGTTGATCTGGAAAACCATCAAGACTCTAGCAGGGTCAGTCTATGAAATGAGGAAAGCTACTTGGACTTTTTCAGGAGGTTTGAGGTGGCGAGCTCGGCATCATCTCTAACGAAGCTCCACCACACGTATGTGAGAGGAATGGTTGTGGCATGCCAAATTGAATGAGCATCGAAGTAGCCTTTGTATGGAGGGAAGTCGTAGATCTCCAGCAGCACCGCCAGCCCACCTCCGATCACTGGTACCCAGACCTTCCATCGAGACGGATGGCGGCTCACCCCTGCCCAAATCGCCCACGTGAGAAGCTGGGTGATACCCATTGCGACACAGACTATGATGTTCCATCCTGCAAGAAGACAGAATTCACATTATTGTCTTGGTCCAGACTCGAAAAGACATTATTACTTGGGACTCAAGTGAAATGACACGAAGAAGTGGAAAGAAGCTGTTATTACCGTAGTCCATCTTGTAAAAGTTGAGGTACAGTATATGGGTTGT